GCTCGTGTTGCGTTGCATAAACAAATCACGGCGCAAAAGAGGTTATGCATGAACAGTGTCGTTATTCTCGCGGGCACTGACCGGCGATCGCAGCCCTTCGAGAAGCCTTCCCGATGCGGCATGGGGAGCATGGGTAGTCGAGGGCCAAATCTCCCACCTGTTCGCCAAACGCGAATCATGGGCGCTGACATGCCACCATTCACAGAATGACTGTGCACATGACGACACCCTTTCACTTGACACATACACAGATCCACCCCAGGGCCTGCCACCACCCATCCCTTTCTGCGTTCAATGCACACCAGGAGTGTGCGGCTAGGAGTGCCTGGCGTCGCCTTACCCGCGCGAACCTTCTCATCGGCTTTGCCACATCATACGATAATTATGACATGTTGGTTCACATATCGTTGTCGCAGGATTGCAACCATCCTGCATGCTGGTTCTCTGATCGCCCGGGATCGCTGCCTTAGGCCGAAACAACTGACAAGGGCGAGCATGGCAATTGAATGGGTCACTCGCAGGAGCGAGAGAAAAAACCGTTCCGTGACATGTGTGGGCCAGGCACGTCCGCCGCTTGCATCAGGGCTGTTCCATGGAAACAGTGTCGAGGGCGCTGTCCCTTACTTCTTGCTGCCCACGCGTTTGGCGGCGAACTGGCTCCGCGTTCCATGTCATGCGACATGGGGGCTGGTTCTGAAGCAGGCTAAGCCGTGCGGGCGGGAAGACCAAATCGAACGTCTCAAGAATGTTCTTTGCATCATCCCTCCCCACGTGCCATCTAATTTCGGCCTTTGGCTTGAGCTTGCGAGCAGCGCGCGAACAGATGAGATTAAGCCGATCGGAGCCTTCTCCGTCGCCCGCCATGCGCACATTGACATTGCGATGTGGTCATGTCGTTATTTTGGGGATCGGAACCTTTCGCTCAATGTCATCATCCCTCGACGAGGCAGCTGAACAGACCTCGGGCTGCTGAGACAGGCGTCGTCTGTTCGCGCAAAGCTGCATGGGGCTTTGGCCAAAAGTAAAAAGAAAATCGGCTCACATCAGCTCATACAGCAAGCCACCAGCCAGCGCTCGTCGCCTCCTGCGTCAAAGAAGCAGCCCAATGCAAATAAACGTGCAAACACTCGCCAATCCATACAACCCAACAAGCAAGTATTGCACTACAGTATTGTACATGCAGTAGTAGATCTATAGTTTGGTTCAGCATCCGAAACCCACACATCGGCATCCGACACCAGATGCCCAACGGCTTTCCCACGGTGTATCCCGCAACCGCATTCCTCATCCGCAATGACAATGGAAATTATCACCGCCGAAATCGTGATTCCATGACGATCGCAAGCCTGAGACATAGCGCCCAAGTGGGACGACGTGACACTCCGCACACCGCGGAATTTCGGTGCGATTTCGAGTCAGAAAGGGAAAGGACAGACGAATGCGAGATTAGTGGCGCCGATCGAATAGTTCACGCCCTGTTCACCCAGAGATGCTCGCCCGCCCCTCCATCCCCCCAAAGGGGAAAATGAATGAACCGCTAAGGACCCGAGACCAGCGCACCAAGACTAAACAAGACCGATATTTTCTTTGCTTTTTTGACAAAGCACGCGACAGGCGAGAGTGACTACACGATTCATGTTTTGCATCTTGCTGGTTTACTAAGTAGCTTACCTACGCAAGACAGTAAACCTTGGTCCTTTCGACCTCGGGCAGTCCTCCATCGCGCAATTCGCTCCGGCATTCAAAGCCGACCGCGACCGCACGAGTTTGGTATTTTGGCGTCGATTTTCGCCGGTCCCACACCGTTCTTGTGAGAGAATCGCGACTTGCACTAGGTTAATCCCTCGTCACGAGTTCCAACCATTATGATGAGACACCAGGAATCAGCGCATCATTTCACCCACTCATCAAATCTGGAGTACCTATGGATGGAGTAAAGTCCATGAATGCCAGATTGGCAGGATAATGGGATGCCTTAAAACTTGGGTTTCCGTTTTGCAATTACCCCGCTTAGTTACGGTCCTTCCTGGGAATTAAGGCACTCCGAACTTCTGCGACAAGTGACAGCTGGATCTGTGTGTGACTGGCCTATGGCACGACAGCGGACGAGGCGCATGTGAGGCTGAACACAATATCATGTGATTGTGATTGTTTTAGGTATGCCGATTGGTTGGCGGTTGCGCGTTTGGAGATTGTTTTGAAACGTGGTGTCTTGAGGTTAACATTTCGACGAGACCAAAGCTTAGTGGGGTTGATGACGGTACCTGACGGTAGTTGGTGGGGTGATGATGATGGAAAGAGATGGCAGGACAGCTTACAACCCATACTGCCAAACTGCCAAACACGACACAGATGCCATGGAGGCCTCAGGCCGGTCTGGCCAAGGTGTTGCGACTGAACGCGAATTGCGCAAAGGAGCGGTGTCACGGACATTTCTTCCACACCTTCAATCTCTGCATTTGGTGTCGCCGTTGCTGGTTCGAGGCGAGGTAACGGCGAGCTAGGCTTGCATCTTTACTAACATCTAACATCGTTGCCCTTGCATTCCTCCTCCACCGTCTAGATCCCATGAAACTCCATGGTTTCTTTCGTTACCGGCCGAGATATTTCCTCCTCCGATTCAGCAAAGAAAACGCAAATACTCTCTACTGTTAGCGAGATGGCGTAGTGCAAGGTACCACACCCGTGGTCGTGTGTATCCATCTTCACCGGACGTCACAAAGTCGTTTAGTTCGAAGTTCGGATCAAGGCTGGTGGCGGCGCAAGGGTCTAGTCGGGACTGACTACACTACTACAGTGTTCTACACCGCTCCACACCGCTACAACGACAACTCGACTATACCAGGGCGAGAACTGGGCGAGAACTGTTTGTTGGATAAGTGGCTTTCTGTAGGTTTCCGGTATGGATTCTCGACCGGATTGTGGCAATGTACATAATGTCGGAGGCTGCGAAATCTTATTTTGGAGATGCAGATGGCAGATGGATGTTTTTACACCGCTTCTCACCGCTCGATATCGCCGTGGAGAGGCTGTGTAGGAGTAGTGTATGCAGGTGGAGATTACGGTAGTGGTAATGGTAGTGGTACTGTATCTTGAATGCAGGTCTCGGTACTTCTATCATGGTAGCCGTAATGTACGAGGTGTAGGGGAGGCATGCATCTGAACTACCCATGAACGTTTCGCTTGTGGACTACACTACACTGTGTCCAGGATGGATGGAAAGTGAGATGGAGATAGGCAAGGTGGAGGGCGTACAACACATGGCTGGCACACCGCTTCCACACGCAGTTGGAGTTAGTTTTGAACGTGGCGAATGTGTGCTTCGATGAGATTCTACGCGTTACTGTGGATGAAGAAAGTTAGGCCGTAGAGACAGTGATGACAACGCGTGATAAACTGGCATAGGTGGGCCGCGTAATCTCACTTCCCGTAATTTCATGTTCTACTTCATCATGATGTCTCCAAGGACTACATCCCTTGAACATCAGCTCTGAAGTGGGTTTCTCCTCGTTCTCGTGTGCTAATTCCACATGCAGCGATAGGTAAGTACCTCAAAACGAGGCTGAAAGCTGATCACCTGCTCACGGTGTAACACGAAGTGCAATAGAACCCACATAGATGCATGGCAATGTACATCTCGGGGAAAGATGACAGCCAGTCAATCTTGTGTAACAGCTGGCTGATTGGATGACATGATTTCGGCATACAAGCCGCGGGCTGAGTGATACAAGACGCCGATGCAGACGTAGATGCAGTGATAGGTGCAGCTGCAAGATGTACAGAATAGACCCGGTGAATGTAACGATGGAAGAACTACAATGGAGCTATGAGTGTATGAGAATGAGGCTGGGGATATCGAGGGCTAGAAGGAGTGTGTTGATGTGGATAGGTGAGGGGATGTTAGAGTGTCACGTAACCCTGCTGGACTGCAGTGTCTTTAACTCCTTAGTAAACGAGACTGGTGGCATTGGAGTAAGACGATTCACACTTCAAAACGGCTATACGACACGCAGTTCTTACGCTTTTGTCTGATAGACTGAGGTCATGAAAGCTAAGGATATGTGCCTCTAAGATCTTCTGTAGTAACGGCATGCAGCCCATCACTGGCACATCGTTGTATCACATTTCGCATCTATCCATCATCCGATACCTTGTCCTACTGGTCTCTCCAATCATACCTACCCACCCGCTCAACGGCAACTCGCAGTAGGAGCAGATCGAATCCAGAACGCATGCGATCCCCTTACCCTCCCCTAGCAAACCACCAAAAACAAAGTAAGAGAACCCGGCAGATGAGCGGTGAACGAGCGTTCTCTTCTCTCATCTGGAACGATAGATTGGCAGTACGGGAAGCCACAGTAAACAGTCCCGGGACTCCTTCCGCGGAAGCAAATAATTCCGAATCGAGCGAACACGCATAATCAGATCCGCTGGAAGCATAGTTTGTAAGGACAAATCGACATATGTCATCATCCACATCCCTGACTATATCTCGACGCGTACTCGTATCTATTCCCTATTCCTCTAGCTTAGCCTATCCCAATCGAGCCACGATATTCTACAAGACTATCGTGTCCATAGTAGAGAGAGGCAACCGCGCTTCACCCGCTTCCCAAACCCTCACTAAAAGCGAGAAAGAAACCCCGGCGCTTAGCCTTTCTCAAGTATCGCCGGGCCAAAACATCTGCAGCATGCGCCCCACCCACACCATCCCCACCTCAGCGCGAACACGTCGACAAGCGCGCGAACGTGCAGGGACAACAACAGAAGGACACAGAAGAACCGACAGACCATCAAGGTGTCCTTTTTCGCATTTGTGAGAGCCAAAAAAGAAGCTTCGTGAAACCCATGATGCTGCACACATACGAACGTTGACCGCTACACGGGGCATCTCCAATGTCTACACCGCTACTGAATTCAAACATGTGTATGCAAAGATGATTTCCTGCCTGTCTGTCTGTCGTCAAAGGCAACATGTAACTCGACACCATCCATCATCATTATTCCGCCTCTTCGACATGCAGTTCCCTCGCCTGAGCGAAGAACACACGAGCCGTCCCGCTGCCGATGTTCTTGATACTATAAGTATTGCCTGTTGTGATTGAGCACTCGTTAGCTGCGTGTGCTTTTGGACCAATGAGAGCGCGAGAAAGGGGTGCGAGCAAGGAAACAGCGGCAAAGTGAGCGCCACGCGAAGCGATGGTTGGATGACAGCCTCGAGGGCGGGGGAATTTGCGAAACGAAAAGAAAAGACTGGGGTTGGAGGGCGCAAGCGGGTCGGAGAGGCGGGTTTGTTGTGTCTCTGTGTTTGTGGCGCGCCGTAACCGCGCTCTTCTCTCTCTCTCTCTTTGCCTGATGGCTTAGAGCAAGTTTGGTAACCGCCACAAGAGCAAGCGAACGACAATGTTGTGCACCGTCGGTTGGGCGAGGCTTTAGCGTCAATGGTTATACAGCATGCTGCAGTCAGCGCCACGCCCATGCGGGTGACGAGAATCGGGTTCGCTTCGCCTGTGTGCTCGCTTGCCCTGGTTGCTTGTTGGACGTGCCCCTGGTCCCCCCAATGTCGTGCCATGTTGCAGAGCAGGAACGTATAACGCGGGCATGCAAGTGTGGTGTGAGATGGGGATATGCAAACACCCGGATGGCGTCGAGCATAATGCAACGGCTGTCGTACAGAGACGGGGAAAGTAAGGGAAGGCGGATGGGGGGGTTGTTGTAGCGAGTGCATGCATGGAAGGAAGTGAAGGAGCACGGCGACAGGTCTTTTCATGCTGCCGTGCATCTTCGAGAATGTGCTGAAGTGACAGAGAATAATGATGAGAAAGAACGTACCTCGAGGGACTTGCCAAACACCTTGCTTGTGGACTGTGAACTCGTTCTCATGCACACGTACCTCCACAGTACCAGACTGTACGTTGAAGATCATGTGCATGTACCGTGAGTTCTTCGTGCGCTTCATCTGATCCGGACCGAGTTCGATGAGACCCCAGTTGAAGAAGTTGCCGATGGATCCAATCTTTGCGTATTTGAAGCCGCCATCTCCGACGGCTCTGGGCTCGACACCCCTTTCGTTCCATGCGATGGCTGTGATATGGTTAGTGACACTTGATCGTTCTTGAGGTTTGAGGCCACTTACTGTCTTCGATGATGTCGTTGGAGGGAACCTCACCAACAGTGTCGAAACCTCTAAAGTTGCCAACAAGAGTGCCTTGCTCTTCCCAGGGGTCGAGCTCGATTTCCTCTTCTTCGACAACAGTGAGCGCCCTCTTTTTGCTCTTGTAGCTGGACTTCTTGGTGGGTCTCCTCTCTTCCTCTACTGCTTGACTCTTCACAATCGACGACATGCTGCCGTCGGGGTCGTAGGAGATGTGGTCGTTCTTCCAGAAGTCGATGGGCGCAACACGATGTCTGCCTGTCCGTCCTATGCGAGCGACATTGTCGGGATCCATCTCGCGGAATACTGAAAGATGTCGTCCCCGTCCGAAGCGTGAGCCGGCTGATGTCGCAGATATTTGATCGATGTCTTTTCTGCTGAGAGGATTTCCGTACGCATCTACCAGCTTGCCGGCCTCCTCGCTCTCCGCCTGTGGAGTCTTCGATTTCGATACTCCATTGGACCTTGGCTCTGCACTTGCCGATTTCGCTTTGGACTCTGCATTTGCTTTCGGTCTGCCCACAGGTTTCGCGGGCTTTGTGAATTCTGCATTAGGCTTCGTCGCTGGTTTGGCTGATGCTGATGCCGATGCTGAGGATGTTGCTTTGTCGCCATTTGACTGCGCTTTAGCTGGCCGTCCGCGCTTCTTTTGTGCAGGCGCTTCCTCGACTTGTTCCGACTGATCTACTGGGTCGTCGGCCGGCGCTTCAACAATGCTGTCATCTTGTTCCTCATTTGGCTGCGCTTTCGTCGGTCGGCCGCGCTTCTTCGGTGCAGGCGCTTCCTCGACCTGTTCCGATTGATCTACTGAGTCGTCGACTGGCGCTTCAACGATGCTGTTCTCTTGCTCGCTAACCGGTTGCACCTTGGGTGGCCGTCCTCGTCGTTTCGGCGCAACAGGTGCTTCCTCAATCTGCTCAGATTGATCTATCGAGTCGTCCACGGGTGCCTCCAGTTCGCTGACGTCGGATACACGTTGTGACCGTCGGCGCTCGGCAGGCGTAGTCTTCTTGCTCTTCTGTGACTCCGCAGCTTGCGCTGCGGTAGGGCGGCCCCGTTTGCGCGGCTTCTCTGCTGGCTCCTGCTCCCCTTCTGAAACCTCCACAACATCGCTCTTTCGTTTCCTACCCCTCTTGGCCTTCTCTTTCGGTGGTTCTGGAACAATTTCAGACTCCTCCTCACGATCCAGCTCCTCAAGGTCCTCAACAATTTGGTCATCGGCCATGCTCTCTTCGCCTCCGATTTGCGCAACGAAACTCTCCTCAGCGGCTATTCCCAATTCATTGGCTGTGATTTCTTCCTGCACAATACTCTCTTCAAAGATCGCGCTCTCTGCCGGGCCCGGCGATTCTTCTTCCGGGATATCGTACACGTCTGATCGCTTTCCTCGTCGCGCACCTGATCCGCTTAGAGCTGGCGTCTCTTGTAGGCTTGATTCGTCCTGTTCAAAGTCGAGGCGTCGCGCAATCGGCTGTGCGGAGTCGCGGATGGGGCTGGATGGCGGAGGAGAGCTTCCCCTCGGCGCCATGGAGGACTGCCGTCGCGGCGAAGATCCGAGGTTGGTCTTCTTGGGTGATCGCGATCGGGGCGGAGGGAGGAGCGTTCGGTTGTTGCGCAAGATCTGGTGGGATGTGGTGAGTTCTGGCATTGAACCTGTCGGGCCTGTCAGTGACATCCCTCGCGATTGCGTCGATATCTGCGCACTCTCTTGTATCTCCATCGAGCCTGATCCTGTCGCATCATTCCCTTGTTTGGGTGGGGACCTCTCTGGCGACGAGAAGATGCCGGAAATCGGTTCGAGGCCATGTTCGTCGTACACGCCTTTGTCTGCGAGTGTGATGCCGGTCTTCCTGCGCAATGTTAGTTATTGATGCGCGTAAACAATAACTATCTGCCTACCTTCCCTGAACGCCAACGTTGTAGTAATTGTTTTCGCGCGCTTCGCGTTTCTTTGTGGGCGCCATCTTCAGAGTCTTGTCCGCAAGGAATGAATGCGCGTGTTGGTGCGGGCGACGCGTCGGTGGTGTCGCGGTTGAATCGCGAGGGCGCTGTCGATAAGTTGTTTGGGTTTAGGCGGGATGTAAACTAACCGTTAACGGCGGGAAGGCACAGGGTCTTGGCGCCTTCCCCTCCAACTCCAACCCACCCATCGCCATCACACAAGTCATCACGAGATGTACTACAGCGTCTATGTTCACTTCTTAGTCTAATGCAGTCTGCTCCTTGTGACCCTGACATGTCACCATCAGAAGTTCAGTTGCCAAGTGTGACATCACGGAGCCACCCAAGAGTACATGCATGGCAGCATCCCACCCACCGTGACAAACTAGTTTAGCGCACATCCATCACGGTGCATGAAAACGGCGCAGTATAAGTTGAGGAGCCCACCCAATCGTGGGGACTTTTCCGGTTTCTTCATTCAACCTCAGCCGGCTCTCAGTTGCTAATTCGCATCCCAGACACCAGTCATCCGCCAAAACGAGAGAACACCTCGCTCTCCTACAGCCACAGTCGTCGTGCAGACCACGCACTGCTTCATTCATTGCTCGCATCAAGCATCCGCTCTCCCATCCACCCACATTGTATCTCCCACCAAACGCTCTTCCTGGATCAAGACTTTTTCCCATAACCAACTCTCTTGACGTACAGCCAAAACAGGAAAAGGCCGTCCAATCATGCCCGGGCGACGATGTGCTTTTCGTGAAGCGTCGAAAAACGGCAGCGAGCCGCTGAATGAAAATATACAAGAAAAGAAATCGTAAGCATATCGATGATTCGTCACATCGTGGGCGCAATCTCCAACGTCGCTCATGCTATCAGAGCGACTTGGAAGTCCGAAACTCGTTCCAGATCAAAACATCGACGGCATCTGGAACACCCTACTGGGGGCAGGCGCTCTGGACGTGGCCGGGCTGCTTGCAGCGGTAGCACACGCGCTCAGATGAAGTCTCCTGGGGGCAGTCGCGCGACAGATGGCCAACCTCGCCGCCTGAAAAAGGTTAGTCATGCTCTTCCAAGTTCATCGCTGTGTACTTACAGTTGTAGCACTTCTGTCCCTGGGTGCAGTCACGGCTCATGTGACCGAAACCACCGCACGAATAACACGTGGTTTGGCGAGCACCTCCGTAGCCACCGGCACCACCGCCGTAGCCTCCACGACCGCCGCCGTAGCCGCCAGCAGCACCGCCGTAGCCACCGCCCTGGGAGCAGTTGCGGGCAATGTGACCGACCTGGCCGCACTTGTAGCACTCTTGGCTGGGGGCGCCACGGCCACCCATCTGGGCACCGCCGTCCTTGGTGCACTCGCGCGAGATGTGGCCGGTGCCACCGCAGCGGTAGCAGGTCTTCTCAGCCTGGGGAGAGGTGCACTCGCGGCTCACGTGGCCCTTCTCGCCGCAGTTGTAGCAGGTTGGGGTACCCTTGGTGGGGCACTCGGCAGCGCGGTGAGAGGAGTCTCCGCCTGGACATGGTCAGCGCGTGTTCAAAGATGCAGTTCCGAGTCAGGCATGGTGGTCTCCGCGCTTGAATACCGATCTGGACCTGTCGCTGGACCCTGAGGCGTGACGCTCTCGCGATCTGATATACAAAGCGGGGCCGCATTCGGACCGTGTCACCACATCGTGGGTATGGAATCAACTTACAGTTGTAGCAGCCACGGCCACCGGCAGCGGGAGCAGGTGCTTGGTAATCCATTTTGTAGAGTTGGAAGACTGGTGAGTGTTAGCTGTAGTCCGCACGCGCCATGCCGTGATGTCGGGCTTTGTTCTTACCGAAGTATCGAAAGGGTAAGGGAGTGACGTTAGAAGATGATTGTCTTCTAAAAAGGTATTGAAATAGTCGTTCAAAAGTCGCACACCACCAATTGTTTGATTATCGGAAGCTGAGGGGTTGGATCGTTGGAGAGAGAGAGCGAGGGGCACAAAGTCGACTGCTGAAAATATCTGTTCGGGCTGGGTTGTGCTTGCCGCTAGTCTAAGCGAAATACGGTCTAGCTTCACCGTTCATTCTTGCCTTCAAGGTGGGTCTGGTGTTTGCGCGAAATCAGGGACGGCGTCGCTGTGGTTTGTGTTCCTGTAAGGGTCCGGAACAATAGGGCTTTGATTTCAAGCACATTGCAGACATGCGCGTGATTGGAACTGCTGTTCATGGTACCTAAGTCGGCTGCGACGTCATTGGAAGGGGAAGCATCGCTTGACAGGCCTCGTGCAGATCTCGGGATGCATATGCAGCTAACCTGGCGTGGAAAGATTGAGTAACCGAACGATCGCACACGTGGCTGCATGTAATATTGATGCCGAGGCACGAACAGGTGGTCAGCGGGAGATCTAGAGATCTGGTATCAGTTTAAGATGTCGAGGTGGGAGTCAGTTCACGTGGTGTTGCGGAGTGCTCTCTGCCGCCTTCAATGCCAACCAGCGTACACATCAAATGTTTCCACGCATGCAGCACCACCGTTGAACAGCATTCGCAAAGTGATGTTCGTGTTCCTAACGTAGACCCTGAAATCTCGGAAAGATATTTGATGTTCTAGACCCGTGCAAAAAGTCGGGTGGTGTCGTGGTGCCCCCACATCCGGCCCAAAAGAAAAAGCTTTCATCCCATGTCCACCACCCCCCTCCCAAAGCTTCACCACCTCAACCACGACCCATCCTATACCTCAAGGAGCGCAAAAAGCTGGACTTGCAGGGAATCGAACCCTGGACCACTCCCATGCTAAGGGAGTATTATACCACTAAACCACAAGCCCGGTTTGACCCCTTCTTTGGGAGGAACCACTTCTCCGAAGCGGCCGCTGTTGCAACTCGAAGAGCTGCTTGTTGATGGAGGATTTTGAAATTGGTTCGTAGATAATCCAAGGCAATCGACGTGTCGAGCAAGTTATCAGGCTCGTTTTGGTAAGTCAGGAGGTCTAGTAAGATTTGGGGATAGTGTAAGACATCGCGAAGGGGTATTCACGAACGAGACCCACTTTCAAGATAATGGCCCCTCCGCTTCGACGGAAGAAAAGCCTTGTTGCGTATTAGTATTTGATCTAGAAGCCTGCATGTTCGTTCTGCCTGTTCGCCCAGGATTTGTCAGTCCCTCAATTCACTTCTAACGACGTGGACATGTCCACCCCTGTAGGAAAGAACTTGACCTCGTGCTTTTAGATAACGCAGAAGTCTGCAATACTCTTTGATAGATCGAGACAGAGTCTTGAAGGATGGATAAGATGTTGCGATAACTAAGGAACATTTGAGCAAGTGAGTATCGTCGAAACGGTATCCAAGACTGATATAGCTCTCGACTAGTATCGAAGAGCTCGTAAGAATCTGCATCTGACGACTACAATGATCTGGCTGCTTTTGATCGTGATTGAACTTTGAAGGCAGGCGTATACAAACTAGTACCTAGTGTACAAACTAAGTAGCAAAGTTAGAGTTAGAGTACGCATAGTAGCGAGACCTTTACGGACTGAATTGTACTACGAGTGTTGGAGTATACATCGTCTTCTATACTGCTGGTTTGTCGAGGACAGAAACCGCGAATACCTCTACGGCGGCAGGTTATATGGAATTCTGTTCAGGTAAAGGCAAAGTAATTCCAGGTAGTGTAATCCTAGAGAGTGTAAAATTGGTATGAAGATGTTTTGTGGGGATGTAAGCAGCGTCCTAGACTTTAACTACCAGCGCTAGATGCGTGATAGCAGAAAACAATGTGAAGTAGAAGACCGCCTTAAACACCTTGGCCAAGATGTGTTGGGCTATGCTCTCGAACATGTCTCAAGTGGCACAAGAGTTAACTACAGGGGTCTCTTCGCCAGGCTTGCATGTCTGTCATAGCATAGAAGTAAGCCGCACTCAAGAGACTTAATAAGACAGTCGTGCAATGCAGGTAGAGCTCACGTCTGTAAGCAGACTATGGCGTCAACCGGCGCCAGAACGATTGCCGTTCGATTTACCCGTGGCAACTCGTTCTAATAATAGAAAATGTCTAACAGTACAAGGGCAAAGGTACGGTATTGTATGAAAAGCTAGCGAGTGTTTTGTAGTATAGTAACAGCGCCGAAACTCAGAGAACCAGCACGGCGTTTAGTCATGATCAAGATAGGCGGAGAAGAGGCCGTACTGGGTTTCTTCATATTAATCAGCGTGACCTACCGCTATGCTTCAGCGCGAAGAGAATCTGTCGCCTATGTCTTACCAAACATGTTCCAGGACGTATAACTATGTTTGAGCATGCGATTTCGCTTTGCATTAGCATACGCGCCACATTTTTCTAACTTCGCATGGAGGATGTATACCACGCGTTAATAAAAAGATCGACTAAAAGACACGTCTCTACGCTCCATCTGCACAACGTAGGAAGCGCGCTATGCTTAATTATTCCAGTGTGGAAAAGACTTGCGCACGAGTATATGAAGAACGAACATAAGCAAGCCCAAGAGGCTACTGACGCAAACTACGAGTTGGCCTAGCTTCAAAGTAGAATTTTATGTTTCTCGCAGCCCCCAGAACAAGTAGAACGGTTGTCAGTAATGCAACATCAAACCGTTAGTCTAGGTACTTGTGGCACGCTGTTTTCTTCCAGCGCTATAACCTGCACACCTAAAATATACACAAAACATCTACAAACAGACAAGATAGGTATGTTAAGAGATATACTGACTGCGCGAGTATACCAACGCGCCCAGCTGAATGAGTCCAGCCCGAAGTTTAGCAACAGCCAGGCAGGGCATGGAAAGACATCGCAGATCAGCACGAAGTTTTGGTTATGCAGACATATCGAGGCGCCGAGTGTAGTGACTTCAACGCGGGAATATACCAACTGTGTCAATGTGGATGAAGAGAGAGAAGACAGCAGCAGGTGGGAGAAGATGATACACGATATCGTAGATGCACTGCGCTCGTTCTGATGATGTGACCGAGCAGTAAGGCCGTCGCATTCGCAGATAACACATTGTATCTTCCACGCACTACTGACTTCTAGAACACTCTCACAAGTTCTCAAAATCAGGATCCTTATCGCCATCGTTCTCTACCTCCTTCTCCTCAGCCTCCTCCTTCAATCACAGCCCCTCTCAGTGATGACGCTCAAGGTGAACCAGCCACCCGGCTGCGGTCTGGTACGACCAGTTTGGGAACAAGGGACATGACGCGCTCCCTGTGCATCCGGCAATCTTCAACTCGTTGAACGACCTTATAAACCTGCTCGCGGCGCATGTGTACCTTCCCCTTTACATATTTCTCGAGTTTCGCAAGGTTCCATTTCTTGTCTTTAGCGCCCTGCGACATCATTTGATCGAACTGGCAGAGCCAACACTTCAACCCAGAGATGGCCTGACTTGTATGCGCGACGAATGCCCTCAGGAATGCTACACGTACTTCGTTCGTAGCTGCATCGCATTCCTCAACCCCATCAGGAATGTTCACTTTCATGTCCTCCTTTAGTAAATCCTGCCAATGCAACGGCTCACCCCGTGGGTGTTGCTTGCCGTCATTTTCCTCGAGCGAATTCACGTCTAGATCCTCTTCCTGATCAACACCCAGCTCCGTTATCTCATTCTGTTCGTTGCGCCGCTTCAAGGCCTCGAGAGCGCTCGTGCGCTCACAGTGGAGACCCTTGAGCTCGGTCTGGGCATCTTTGGCCTGTTTGCGGATCGATTTTCGTGCGCCATCTTTACCGGCGGTCACTCCTGTAGTTGTTGACTTGGTGGAGATGTTCGGCAAAGATCGCATCTCTTGGGCAGGCTCTTCCAGTATAGTGTTCCGTATACTCCTGCGGATCTTCTTCAGTACCTTGTTTCGCTTGTAGGAGACAGCCCCAAGCTCCTTAAGGACAAGCTCAGCTACAGAGTTTCCATCCCTTAACATGACCTTGTAAGCGCCAGTGACACTGCCGGTATAGCCTCACGATCTGGGTGTATCATCGCCGCTGTTTCCGTATCAGAAACTCGCGCATGTCGTCGATCGTTGTTTTGAAGGATTGGACTATCTCGACTAACTCGGGGTGTTCTCGCTCGCGTTCGCGCAACCGGTCTTCGACATCAGCGTGAAGCATGATCCCGTATTTCTCATGCTGTACGTATCCTGTCTGAGCTGCCTGCTCAAACATCTTTCTTGCGTCTCACCGGCTCATCTGCACTGCCTCGTATGTAGGAATAAATGTCGATGTCGCCGACGCCGACCGTGTTGTAGTATTCGTTGGCGTTCGAGTCGTCGGCATGTGCTGCAATTGCCCGCGCCGCCGCCTCTCCATGTTCATGTTTGGTTTCGGTGATACGTGTTGGACGAAAGCAATACATTGTATTGCGTTGTGAATAGCCCGCGTCGATGCACGCTTCACGCAGGTGAGGATTCAGCGCACCAGACTTCATCGGCTTCCCAGGCGTAATGGTGCCGTGACTGTCAGCTGGTAGGAATACTGTTTGGTTCGAAACAACAGGATCAGTCTTGAGCCAGGCGTTGTCCATGCGAAGGATAGAAGAAGCTGGTTACATCAGGAGGTACCCAGGTAGTATTGCTACCTTCACTATATTATCAGTCGCTAGAAGTTTCTTGCCAAGGTAGCCAGGAGATCGTCAGCTATGATCGGAGTAGCGCGACCTTCCCCTCAACACCTGTGTAGTTGGCACGCTAGTCTTGCAATATTAAACTCATCGACGTCAGCGTTAGAGGTAGTCAACACAGTGCTCTACTGAAGTGGTTTTGTAGATGATGGGAGTTGATGTAGTCAGCAGGAGGGTTCAACAACTGCAATTTTGTCGGATACAACGTCGATGTAGCAGCCTGCCAATTGTATTTTTAGGATCCTTCCAAGATGGAGCATCACTCCGCGGACCCCGACTAAAATATATAGCGCATTAAGCTAACGAAGTCCTTGACATATCTCGCGACATTCATCCCAACTTCGGCGCCGTCTGACCACTCACCCTCCCGGTCCTTGTCTTGCTTTTACACATCGCCCATGGCATTCGATGCGTCCTTTGGAAATGATACGGGAACGTCCCAGTGCGAGGGCTCATTGTGTGCTGACGGGAAGCTCACTTGGCGCCGGAGTGGGGCTTCCTCGATAATGCTGAGATCCATGCTGCTCTCCACCAGTACATCTCTGGCAACGTCCTTCCAATTGTCACCGATCTTCTCGAATCACGATCTATCGCCGGGTAGATTGTACGCGTGCATAACGATGGTCTCGTCAATACTAAACTCTTTGAGGTTCGCGCCGGTAGCTGCCATTGTGACGCCTTTCAAGTCTTGGATGCAGTCGTCCTTGTACAAATTGAGGATATTATGTGCCTCTTGTGGTGTAAAGGATCCTGGTGCTTTCCCTGCGTACTGTTTCTGTGTCTGCGGGTGAGTCCAAATGGATGGTTGACAGATCCTTCCTGCAATCGCCTTCGATGCTTCGAACGCTGCTTCGGAGTTCCAAAGTAGCTTTTGCGCTCCGTTGAAGAGAGATTGGCGCGAGTCGATTACTTGGCGGCATGCGTTCTTCTCGTTGCTGTCTTGGTCGACAAGGGCAGAGATGTGTTCATGTCTGAGTGCCATATATGTTTCGGCCAGCCTGTCGTATTCTTTCGCCATCTGTTCTGTTGTCCAGGACTTCAGGTGGGATTCCGCAAAGTTCATACCCTGGGGATCGTATGATTGCATTGCGACTGGGTACTTGATATCGATTCCGTGTTTCACCTACGAAGTCAGTATATGTTTACGAATATTGCGCCAGAACTTACCTCTACGTCATGTCGCTTGTTTCCTCTGTCCGCGTTCTCAGGTGTGGGGTATGCTGCGGATGGTGGAAGGGCTATCGTTTGCGCTACTTCGAGAGGAGCAGGCGCGGTAGGCTTTGTGGGCTCAATCGCGATGCTCTGCTCAACAGGAGTGTTTGACGGGAAGCTGGTATCAATAGATGCCGTAGGTGCGCCATGTCTGGGTGTGGAAGGCGCGTGGTCATCAATGGAATGTGGTGAGCTTGTTGTTGGTGTTGGAGATGGCGCGCTGACTTGCGCGCCATTTCCGGCCATGGCGGCGTCTGGGGAGATCGTCACCACTTGCGATAGGAATTGTCTGGTGTTGTAGGTTGCTGAAGTGGTTTTGCTTGGGCAGCGCTCTTGCAATACTAGTCAGAGCTTGTGCAGATGATGGTGCAGATGAAGAAGTTGGAAGTAGTGGGTTGAAAGAGTGATGGAGGAGATGTGCGAGAGCTATTGTATTTGTATGCGCTGCTTGATGCTGTTGCAGGTTGCAGGTGAGAGAGCTCCGGTATCGCGGTGCAGCCCGGCACGTGGCGGTGGAGTACGGGCTATCACGTGCGGGCACTCGCAAGATAGCCACCACGTCCACGTACATATATGAGGTCTTCTAGTCTTACCATGTTCTTCACATCTCTACATGTTCCCCCGATGGTGTATGTGGTGATGAAAACTAAGTCACTTACCCAGGTATCTACTAGGTAACGCTGTCGCCCTCTTAAACCGGCGCGGCTTATTGCTTGCACCGAAGACTTCATACTCAAATGGAACTGCTTCATACCATTTTCTTGAAGGATATCACATGAACACTCTCATCTTCACAGTAGCTTGGTAGCAAATCCAGGTTCGCATTGCTGACATCCAATCGGGGTTCCCGTGTTTGATCCTGGTGCGCCATTGAAAAACTTCCCGACGCTGGTACAGAGACACCTTCCTATGAAGTTTGTTGCCTGCAGTGTTAAGAGACTTCCTTCGATCTGCACCGCGCCGATGCATCACGAAATGGCGGGGGTCCTTGCCAGTGTTGTATCGTCGATGGAGGGGGTTTTGCGCTCTCTCTTGTCGCGCCACATATGGACCGTAAGGCGCTGGTACAATCAGACCCCACTACATTGAATCCGATTCCTGTAGTACAAAGAGACATCCTGCGGTATATCCTGCGCCAATCCATTCTGTCGCGGCGGGTTGACTTGCCAGTGCTGTATACATAGTCACAGTCGTTCGCCAACAAGGTCTCCACTTGCTATTCATGCGCCGTTCCTATAAAATTTGGCGCTGTAGACGAATGGTTGCCTGCTGTTCATCAGAGGGACGTATCTATATCGCGCTAACACATCTTCATTGCGACAGGTTAGCACATGTACAATTCGGGATACTGGCTTAACAGGGTCTTGGATACCTGTCAACTTCTGGTCTCGCCCCCCACTATATGCTTGAACCTATCTGGCACGAAGTCTGATGCTTCCATGTCACACTCCTTGTGTACTCAGCGGACCCGCTAAGAATCGGGACTAGGAAGCTGCGCTAGTGCTACGAAAGAACAGCGCGGCTGCTCAACCTTGATGAATTGCTTGGTAGAATGTGATGCGAATTATAGCCACCCGTGGTCTCAGCTGGCGGAGTGTTGACGGTCGAGATTGCTTCGTCGTAGAAGTGATCGCATTGGGCCGATGTCAATGGGCTTGCCAAGTGTTCATTCCAGGCGTCGATTGTACAAATCATGTATTGTTGAGACTGGAATACTGCGCCATGGTCTTGGTGCGTTGGCGCGTCCTGATTACTATCGTTCATCGATACAGAACGAGCCGCTCGAACGACATGACGAGACTGCTGCGGATCCGGGGAAAGTGAGTCTTCGCGGGGTAGTCTGTCGCGGGGTATCGTCCGATTTACGTTCATGGTGTATCTTGATATCGAACTTGGGTATCGGACTGGGTTACATCTTCAAGATGGCGTTGCGTGTCTGTCGAGACCGTGTCCAACCAAGACCCTAACCCTGAGCAAGATTACGTGGTCCTTGGGAATTTGTTCTGGAGTGCGTCTGTAGTAACCCAAGCTCCGATAGAACCATCAGACGACGTGCTGTAGCAACCAATCATTGAAGAAGCAGAAAAACGCGCTCTCCGCGCGATGTTGGCGGGTACGAAACGTGGCGGAAGGCATAGGTAACGTGAACACACGAGGCTGCTTGGTGTCCACGTCCGTGCTGCTGAACACAGTGTCACGACAGCCCCGAAGCCTAGCGAGAGGAATGGCGTTTGTCGATAGTCCGGAAGCGAAGGAAGAAAGTCACATCATTTCCACAAGATGAGAGTGCGAGTGTGGTTCAGCTGCACCTGACATTCTCGGCTATCATCTCGTTATCGCGTAATGACATCAGAGTTATCCGTGGATACCTTGCGCAACATCGCTAGGTAATCACCTTTATCGCCGCGCAATACGGTAAATACGACAGAGTTCATTCCGCGACAAACTTCAGGAAACGAACCGTTGGCCCCTCGCCTAAAGCTGCACGCCTAGTCTTTTAGCTTTTGCCTTTTCGCCAGACGTTCTTGGAGAGCTGTGGCAACTCAGTTACTGATCAGCAGTGCTGGGTAAACCGCGGGAACTCTGCATCAGTTCATCCGAACCCAACACCGTGTTTCGAGACAACGGCGCCGAAGTATTGACCGCTGCAGATGTGCCCAGAGAAAATTATCGCACCGAGGCCGCACATGTCAGCATCATCGCGTCGATCTGAATTCGCTCAGGAAATTCGGTGGAGAACCAAGTTGCATCAAGAGACTTCAGAATGAGCTACACGTGAGATCAAGGCCATCCACGTACCAGCTGTCTCATGTCAGGCAACCCGCCGGTTTATTTAAAGAGTCTGGAGTAGAGCGACGGAATCTGGGCCGTCCCCAAAGGCCAGGACCACGGATCTATCTACGCGAAATCTCGGGCGCTAACGTGATCTACACGCCCGATTTGGCAACGACCCAGGGGTATGTCTTGGCTTATGACCGCCACAAAGCCTCCGAAGCGAAGACAGCACCTGCATGCTCCCTCGCGACATTGTGCCATACGCGCGTTGCGAGCTGGAATCATGTCCGGATCCCGAGAAAGGCTGATGCCGTGGAAGCCCGCATGCGCTTGAGTGTCTGTCGTAGACTCGATGAAAGACCTCATCTTACTCATCTTCCTACACAGCACACTCCCTGTCAAGACTTACATTATTAACTCTCCGCTAGCGGGCTACCTCCTGTATCGCAGTCTCAGTGTCAGCCTCGACCAAATCTGACACGCGCGGCGGCTGACCCGTCCCATAGCCAAGCACACTACACGCTTCACGGGCGTCGTGGGCATCTTTTTCTAATGTCTGGGCATACGGTAGTTAGTTCGCCTCTTATATGGAATTCGCACCCACATCCCTTTGTTGCTTCCTCTTGGTCTATCTTTTTTTCCTTGCTCACTTTGTGAAAAGGTCAAAAGGCGTCTGTTCACTCTTTACAGTGTCGTCTTTACCTTTTGTTCGGACTTAATATCGGTCGATCTTTTTGATCTTACACTCGTTTATTCCTACGATTAGGACTTTTATTTTAGGTGGAGAGAGAAACACGTTATCATAATGCGCTACACTGGACTTTACGCTGCGGCTCTGGTCGCACCCCTCGTGGCTGCTCACAGCGACTTCCCTGTACCGAAGATTGTTGGCCTTGGACCCCGAGAGATTGGTCAACTTAGGAGCAGGAACATTCTTGGTGGACATGCGGCGCACGTTGCAGGGCCCAATCTACGTTTGACGGCACGTCAAGGTGGTATTGATGGTCGGTGCGGACCGAACAACGGCGGTGCGAGCTGCGCCGAGGGCTACTGTTGCTCTGTGGAAGGCTACTGTGGTCAAGGAGGTAAGGTATTCGGGTACAACTTGACAGACCAATGCTGATCTTCATAGGTGACTACTGTGAAGCACCCGACTGCCAGTTCCAGTACGGCCCTGCCTGTGATGCCAACAAACTCCCTACTGGAGGCAGCACTCGCAACATTGCTCGTCCCAAGCTCGGCAACCAGCCATACGGTGGAGAGGGCATCTACGACTGCACTGAGCCAAACACGATTGCCATCACATACGATGACGGTCCTTACATCTACACTGAGGGTGTGTTGGATCAGTTCAAAGCTGCAGGAGCAAAGGCCACTTTCTTCGTCACCGGTGTCAACATCAACAAGGGCGCAATTGACGACACAAGCAAGCCGTGGGCTGCTACCATCAAGCGCATGATCGCCGAGGGACATCAAGTTGCCAGTCACACATGGTCGCATCAAGATCTTAGCGCCATCACCAGCCAACAGCGATACGACCAGATGGTCAGGAACGAGGTATGATATTATAATCTGAACCATTCAAGGAAGTACTAATCAAATTGTAGATGGCCTTCGCCAACATCATGGGAAAATTCCCCACCTACATGCGCCCGCCTTACTCTTCTTGCACTGCAGCCTCAGGATGCCAAAAGGACCTCGCTGATCTAGGATACGTCGTCTCATACTTCGACCTCGACACTGACGACTACAACAACGTAACCCCGGACAAGATCCAGAACGCCAAGGACAACGTTAAGAAGGCCATCGACCCCAGCAACCCCCAGACGGACGCTTTCCAGGCCATCGCACACGACATCCACGAGCAGACCGCCAAGAACCTGACTGGCTACATGATTGAGACCATGAAGGCAAAGGGATACAAGCTGGTTACTCTGGGCGAGTGCTTGGGCGAGCCTCAGGCGAACTGGTACCGAGACGCTTCTTCCGGTCGCGTAGCCACTACGTCTGTCTTCACCCCTCCTGTCGCGGGTCCCACATCTGGTAGCGCCAGTTCCGCTGCACCTGCTGCCACTCCTACGGGCGTTTCCACGGATGCCACCTGCGGAGGCACATCTGGCTTCACCTGCCTCGGTACGACCTCTTAATTTGGATATACAATCACCCCCAACTGACATCCCCGCAGGCTTCGCCCAAGGCGAATGCTGCTCCCGCTACGGCTTCTGTGGAAACACCGACGGTCACTGCGGAGTAGGCTGCCAGGCCGGTTTCGGAAAATGTGGCAACAATGGCACTGCTCCTTCATCTGGAAGTGGCAGTGCTTCTCAGCCAGCAGCTACCGGTGCTTCTTCATCTGCGTCTGCTCCTACATCTGCTCCCAGCGGTCTCGTTACTACGACTGATGGCTCCTGCGGTGGCACATCTGGCTTTACCTGCGTTGGTTTCGCAGACGGCGAGTGCTGCTCTCAGTA